CTTGTGAGAAATGGTATTGTTTAATGAATAAAGAGCTAGCCTTAGAGTCTGGAGGACCTGAGCTCAAACCTGCTTCTGATACTTATTACCTATATGAATTTGAGCAAGTGCATAAGCTCCCAGGGCCCCAAGCAACTTTCTTAGACTCCAAGTTTTAAAACAGGTGCCAATCTATATTGGCAGAAGGAGCTTCCTTCCTATACAGATGAAATGTATCCATATGTATATGTACATGTATGCACACACACAATGAGAAGTTGACATAAGAGGGCACTGAATTAAAGGTACTTAGACTTTGATTTTGCCTGCCAGACACAGTTTGTATTAGAAACAAAATAGACACAGACAAGTCACAAAGACAAAGACAGAGCTCCACACACAGAACCACAGAGAGAGAGACACAGTGACACAGAAGGAGAAAGAAAGTATTCTGAAGTTACCTGTGTGTGGTAGGGTAGAAAAAACAGTAGAGTTGCAATCAGTGGACCCAAGTTCAAATTCTGGCTCTGCTACTTATTACCAGCATGACCTTAACCAAGCCATTTAGGCTTCTTCACACATTGGGCTCTTAGGCTCAGCTTCCTTATTTATAAAGAAGGGAAGTGAATGAGAACATCCTTCCCAGTTCTAAATCCTATGATTCCTATGATAGTTTATTTTTCCATATTAGAAGGAAGAAGTCCTGACCATAAAAACAAGCCCTCTCTGTAGGATAGCAGCATGAGGAAGCAGACATTTGGAGAAAGAAAAGGATGTGAGTTTTACTTAAGGACAAATATTTATTTAATAATTCAATTCACGTATCACAGAAGGTGACTTATAGAGGTTTTCAAAACAGGCACAAACATTCTATGTCTAACAGTATTATTTTGTTATCAGTCTTGCCTTTAAGGGCCAACATTTCAATGATGGCCCAGAGCTTTCTTCTGCTTATTAGATTTTTTTCCAACAAGTGTATGTATCAGGGAAGTTTATACAAGTGCGTCACTAAAGAGAGCAGTATATTTCTATTTCTGGAAAGAGTTTAAGTGCTAACTCAATTCTAGAAACTCACTAATGGCAGGAAATGACCAGATCTTACATGAGTCGAATAATTATTCCCCTTTTGATATTCCCAAATGAATATGTAAAGCTATTATCTATGCATTCTGGAACACCTTCTGGTCACTAAACTAACACAGCAACATTCAATATATGACCCTCCTAAGATATAGCTCCCTATAAATAACTGTTGTTCTGCATCCCACCACTATTTCTCCTAGCCTTACATTTGCAGCCTTGATTCCTGACTTGTTTTCTTAAATGTAGTGGACTCAGTGGTAGTAAGAGTGTTTTTATTCTGAGTGCCTTAGTTTGCTTAGTTTTGCAAAGTCCTGCCCTTCTTTTTTGTCCCTGTACAGCCATCTTCCATAATTTTTTTAAATATCTGAGTTAGATCACACATTCCCTCTTTCCTTCTTTATTTATTTTAACATTCTTTTTTTTTAACATTTTGAGTTCCAAATTCTCTCCCTCCCTCTCCTTCCTTCCCAATGCATTGAGAAAGCAAGCAACATATCAGTCATACATATGAAGTCACATAAAACATATTTCCATACTAGCCATGTGAAAAAAAGAAAAGGCAAAAAAAATGAAAATATATGTTTCAATCTGCACTCAGAGTTCATCAGTTTTCTCTCTCTGGAAGTGGATAGCATTTTTCATCACGTGTCCTTTGGAATTGTCTTGGATCATCATCTTGATCTGAGTAGTTGTTTGCTGTTGATCAGTGTTACAATATTTCTGTTACCATGTACAATGTTCTCACGACTCTGCTCACCTCACTTTGCTTCAGTTCATAGAAGTCTTCCCAGGTTTTTTCTGAAATGATCCCCTCACCATTTTTATAGCACAATAGTATTCCATCACAATCATACACCACAACTGGTTCAGACCTTCCCCTCATGAGTTCTTGGGGGCTAGAAAGTGCCTCCCTTTGATCTTTCATTGGCTCTGCCACTCCAGAACTCAATTTGATGCTTTATTTTAAAGTTGTTTAAAGGGGAATGTTGCATGAGCTCAGCTGCAGTGCTTTCTCTTCTCCACCATCTTGGCTCCACCCCATGAGTTCCCTCTTTAGCCAAACAGGTCTCTCCAAGGCTCACTTTTCTTTTGCTCAATTATTTCTGCTTATATCAATCAATCAATAAACATATATTGAGTGTCTACTGTGTGCTAGGTGGCACATTGGACCAGAGCACTGGGCTTGGAATCAGGAAGACTTATCTTCATGAATTCAAATCTGGCCTCAGACACTAACTAGCTGTGTGACCCTGGACAAGTCACTTAACCCTGTCTGCCTCAGTTTCCTCATCTGTAAAATGAACTGGAGAAGGAAATGGCAAACTACTCCAGCATCTTTGCCACCAAAACCTCAGATGGGGTTATGAAGAGCCAGACACAACTAAAACAACTGAACAACAGTGGGAGCTTGTGCTAAGTGCTAAGTATACAAAAAGAAGCAAGAGGTGTTCCTAACTCGAGAAACTTACAGTGTAACGAGGGAGACAGCATGCAAACAAACATATGTGGAGGCAGTTATGATCATCATAAACAGGATATCAAATTTCAAAGATCTTTGTATTCTTTTTAGCCTAATATCCTCAGTAAAATATTAGTCCACAAGATCCAGCCTACCCTTTACTCCCCTTTGAAATCTCCCAGAATATTAGGCAGATGTCACCCTATGCCTAACTTTCTTCTCCTCTAGCACAAACTCTATGATGAAGTGATCACTTAATCCTAGGGTTTCTATTTCAGTAGCTGGGCTCTCCTTATTTGTCAAACTTAGGACCAGAATATTATTTCCCTTTGTCACATCCTCTACCCCATGTCAATGTCATTCATGGCTTTCCCTTCATTGATCCACATTCAGATGTCCTCCACTATGTTTTCCACACTTAGGTTCCTGAATTTCTACATATCTCAGTCTACACAATAGACAGCACTACTCTTCCATTCTTTTTGAATAAGGTATACTGTGCCAGAGCCATTTGGAGTCATGAATTTCATCCTACCAAGTCTTTGAGGTCAAAATTGCCCCTAGTATTGGAATCTCTAGTTTACCCTGTTTTTCACTTGTACATTGTATTTGTATATATACCTATCAGGCCATGGCTTGTTTTTGTTTTTCTGCTTTCCTGGGTCCTTGCCTCTGTTATTTGTCTACTCCTTATGGTGCTGGTAGATCTGTGCTATTAGGTTTCTCCCTCTCCCTCCTTTACAGCTTAAAGTCCTCTCAGGTTCATAAGTCTCCTGAGAAATGTATTTTTAATTGACTCTTGTTATGTACACTCCATCACTGGCCAGCAGCCCATTGTTTTAATGTTTTAAGTTGTGGCTCAGATACATAAATTCCATTCCCATACACCATCTTCTTAGCAACTATTCACTTTCCAAAGGTATTTTCTCTTCTAAACCCCTACCTCTAGTTTTAATGAATATTTCATATTGCTTAATGATGGTTTCCATGGTATAATTTTGTACCCAAAAATTTTGTATCAAAAGTGGACAGTGGTAGCTAGGATTGATAAGTCTCTGGACAGTCTCTATCATGTCCCAGATACCTGTTACTGCAACACCATGGGCACCTAACACATATTCACACTGTTAGGGTGGAATAAAGAAACTAAGCAGTTACATTCAGACAATGATTTATTTAGCAACGCGTGCAATTGCAGAAACAGATCAGGTCCAAGGCTCTTGGTCCACACAAGGACCCTGACCATTGGTTTCTACAGTTATCATATAATTGAAGGAAGTAGAAAAACAGGATTGTAGGAATTGAGACACATGGTTTCTTATTGGTAGAGGAGATCAGGAGACATTGAGATAAGGGGAAGGGGGCAGAGCAGTCTTGTGACTTTCCTGAATCAGGTGACTTCCAAGAAGTTGAAACTTAACTTCACAAAATGGTAGATAAGGGCAAAATGGAGTCACTAATTCTATTTTAATGTAACAACACATGCATAAACGAGGATATCTGAGGTTAAAACAATGAGCTCTTAGCTCATGAAGCTCTTTCAAGATATCAAGCCTAGCCAGTTATTTCTGCTAACCCACAAGCAATATACAAAACACAAGATGAGCCAGGTCCCATGGGCAGAGTCATGGATAGAAAATGCTATCCCATTTCTATCTGTGTCATTATAATGTAAAACACTATTTTTAAAAAACCCTAATGTGACTTTTTACCTCCAAATGAGTGTCATTTACTCCTAAGTGGCACTGTGGGAGGTTAAAAAGAATGATTTCAAAATGCTACTATTGTTCCATTTTAGAAACTCCTCTTTTGGAATTGCTTTCAGAACCAACTTAGAAACCATAAAAGAAAGCTATTCTCAAAACCCCCACACACAACCATTTACTTGAAGCCTTTCCTGAGGTTCCTAACTTCTAGGGATCTCCCCCAACAAATTTACCTCATAATTATCCTGAACATATTTCATATGTAAGCATTAATGTACGTGTTGTCTCCACATTAGAATGTTAAGCCTCTTAAGGGCAGAGATGGTTTCATTTTTCTATCCCCTGTGCCCACTGTAATGCCTCATGATTAATAAATGCTCACTGACTGATTGATGACAAAGGTATGGATATACCCAAGTAGTACCCAGGGGTATGCACCCAAGGGAGAGCCCACATAAAATGTCACCATACTAACAATAATAGCTGATGCTTGTGAAGCGTTCTATGGTTTACAAAATGATTTTGCATATGTTATTCATGTGATCTAGTTCAGTCCCTGCATTCTTTAGTCAAGAAAATTCAGCCTTACTAGGACTGTACTCAGTCCTTACCCACCATACTGAACCTATTTTATTTCCAGCACTTTAGTGATTCTTTTGGAAGTTCAGATGGCCTGAAAAGAGAAGCAACTTTGATTTTTCAGAAAGCCAGTGTAAACTTGCCTCCCTTCTGGGTCTGGATTTTTTCAGTGTGTTGTATTGCTCTCCTTCTAGAAGCTGTACAGAAAAGAGATCAAGCCACCTTTTAAACCAGCAGTGGGCAGACCTGAAGATACATTTCATTTTGATCCTGAGTTCACATCCAGGACCCCTACAGGTTAGTGTGGGCAGCACAAAAGGGAAGAATCAGCCGTTACCGCCAATGACATATTTTTCCAATATTGCCGAGCAGCTAGGGGGCAGACATCTAGGAGCCAGAGAACCACATGAATAAACTATGTTTAATAGAAAACTGTCATCATTGTTTGTTGTCTTTCCTTCTTAGCTAGATTTAAAGCTATTGATGTAAGTGATACAGCTGGTTATGCATTTTGGATATTGTCCAGGTTGCATGGATTTTTCTCCTTCCTATTTCTTGTGTTTTGCCTGTTTTACTCTTTGGCACTCTCTCCTCCACACAGGGGGAAAGTAATAGAAACTTAAATCAATTTTGCTACCTCTCAGTAATGTTGCACCAAAGTTTAGTTAGGAGAAAGCTGAAACTGTTGGCAAGACTAAAGGTCTGTGAACTCATCCAGTCTGAAAACAAATAATATTCTCATTTGAAAACACTGTTAGCACCATTTTATTTAAAGATTGCAGACTAGTCCAAAAAGTCAAGTCAACAAGCTTTTATTAAGCACACGAAAATCAAACCGTGTGTATATAGATACCTGTCAACTCCTTGGAAAGTTACAGAATAAGAATAAAAAATATTCTCTGTGATATGGGATGGCTCTCTGGAAGGGAAGAATGGGCCTTGGGATACAGAGGGAAATTTTAGGCAATGTAAAAACAAAATATATCAATAAAAATTTATTTTTAAAAAAATTTGAAGAAAGTTGTGAAATGAGCAGACAGATACACAGGGCATGTAGTTAACCTGAAGCAGAGGCTTCCCTAGTCCTATCAGTGATGTTGAGGGACTATCTGTGAGTTTCAACTCCTTGCACTGTCCCAGATTCCCATTACCATGGATGATGAGAAATGAATTTAATGTAAGGCTTGACAGGGATGTAGAATGGTTACAGCTTTGTCTTACTGTGCTCTCAGGCAAGATGCTTTAAGCAAAGGAACACTGCTCTGGCTTAGCACCAAAAGCTATATAGAAGAAACCTAAGTTCATTTGATTCAGTTTATTGTTAACTAATTCATTGGGGGTCTTACAGGAGACCCCAGATAAAATCCAGCCTGTCATTGGTATTAGGATCTAAGAGGTCTATATAGTAATGACTGCCTTCAGTATGGTGATCATTGGAAGCTTCCAATGACAAGGAAACCCACTTCAAATGAGGGGTGGGGAAGAGTTAACAGCAGGATGCTTTACTGGTTTGAAAGATATTTATCTGTGTGTAAGATTCTGTCCTAATGCATATATGAGATTAGCACAAGATCTAGTCATTGTGGAAGAAGATGAAAGAAGATGAGGTTTAGAGGTTTCATCTTGACTCAATCATTGGGCTTTAGTAAGTAATTTTACTTCCATTCTGATTTATCCATCTGTCAAATGAATATAATGGCAGTTCTTAAAATAGAGGGACATTAACTATTAATCTGCATAAATATCAGACCTTCAACCTGTATTTGAAATATTAAAAGTCAGTAGCTAAGCATTTCTGGTTGCTGTTTTCTTAATGCTAATATTGGCCTGTCTCTGTAATCTACCTACCTACTGAGTACTACTGCCTCACCCCATAGACCTTTTAATATTATCCGGGAGTTCAAACTTATTTTAATAGTAGATTATTAAATATTAGTATACTGTAGGAATATTAGTATTAGTATACTTATAGGGGGAAAATTAAAAGGGAATCTGTTACTTCACAAAAAAAATTTTGGCAGTGACCTACTCTCCAGTCCACACACTGTATTCCCAGTCCAATCTCCATGGCTTTAGGCTGACTGTCCCCCACACCAAGAACGTACTCTCTCCTTAACTCTGCCTCTTGGAAGCTCTGGTTTCCTTCATGACTAAGCTCTCAAGTATAACGTCCTTCATAAAGTCTTTCCTGGTCTCCTACGCACCCACCCCCCTAACCAGCTACCAAGACCTATGTTCCCCGAACCACCATGTACATATTCTCTGTACATATTCTGCCTCTAATACAGTAGGTATGTGTTGTTTCCGCCATTAGAATACTGAAGGCAGGGATTGTTTGTTTCAACAGTTTCTTTGTATCCCTAGCACTTAGCACAATGCTTTATATAGTAGTACTAAATAAATGCTTCTGGGTGAATTGATTGACTCTCTAGTATTTTAATTTTTTTAAACTGTGATTGATTTTCCAGTATCATTGATTAATTGTTGACTTACCTATCTTATATGATGTCGTCTTTTTTTTCCCTAGAGGCTCTCAAAGATCCTTCATGGATTATTTATTACATCATAGAATTTACCTATGAGGGAGATGGGATTTTGCGATACTAGGGACACAAATATCTCTGCTTTTAGAAATTGGGATATTTTTATAAGTTTGTGTTTGGATGGTCCAGGGCTAGACTTGGGCAGGAGGGAGGGAGTAGGTTAAAGGTAGCAGCAGCACTGTTCTTTTTAAAAAGCATATAATACACGGAATCAGTTGTATTTGACTTTAGGATGTATAATGTGATTTTCTTGTAATAAGTTATCTTGTTTTTATTTGGCTTAAGCTAATGCTGCAGTTATTTTATATTCCCTGAGACATATCTATTACTAGGAGGAGAGGTGACTCTAGATCATGTTGAGTGGCAAAGGGAAGCCAACTCAAGATTAAAATTTCATCAGGTTCATCTATAAAACAGATTATAGTCAAGTGGATAATCAAGGTTTGACTGTATTCAGTGTTAATTTTTCATGTATTCATTTTATATTTTTTCCTCTTGTGTTCCACCTTAAGTGTCATGCTAAAGAATTATTCTCCCACGGATCTTTATCAAATCTAATCACATCACCCACTGTGTAGTCATCATTTAAAGACTATTCACATTTTAATTCTTGCAACCTTTCCTAAAAGTTTCTCTGTGCCATCATTCCTTCAACAATTTCCCCTGATGTAAACATAGTGAACTAAAAGTCCTAGTATAGTAGTTCATGTGTATGGAGGAAGAAATTGCTCCTCTTATATTTCCATTCTCTTAGTGTTAATGAAAGTATACAACTTTATAGCAATTCTTTCCTTTCTCGTAATATTATAAAAGGAACCACTGACCACCCAGGTATGTACTCAGACCTTAACATTTCTATGACCTGTGAAATCCATAATAGTATTCCCTTCAATAGAATCAGGCTCTTAAATCTAGAAACCTCAGGGAGGAAATTAATGCCTGTCATTTGAAGTAGCTGAAAGCAATGATGTATCCACTTGTACTTTTTTTTCCAGTGGGTGCACTTTTCAATGAAGTACAAGACAGCTTGGGGAATTTTGAAGAGGCAGCAAGTAATAGGGTGAACTGAAAAGAAAGATGGATACAAACAGACTAAATGAAATGGAAACCCATCCATCCAGAGAAGCTCGTATGCAAGCAGGAAAAGCAGAGCAATGTTTCAAAAAAACGTGTTTGTTGTCTCATGTGTCTTGCACTGAATAATTTTCAGATTCCAAAAACTACTCAGCCATGCCTTCTGTTTTTTAATTAAGCTTCCATAGTCTGGCAGTTTGGGAGTTTATTCCCAAACACTGTCAACTCTGATTATATTAATTCAGCCATCACATTGGTGTCAACAACTGGACATTCACGAAAACAAGGACTAAGTGATGATGGTAACTTTGTAATAATTGGGAAAGAATTAAGACTTCCCTTTGGCACACATTGCCTTTGTGATGTTAGAATTTAAAAATCTCTTCATTGGCACAAGACATTGAAGATGAACAAAAATATACAGAATCTTCCAAGAGAAATGTAGTTATTCTTTCTGTGTGATATGATCACTCATGCTCTGAAAGAATTGATCACATTATACTACAACATTCATGTTTCTATATCTAAGCAAATGAAAGGTGCAAGACAACATTCATCATCATCATTTTTTTCCAGAAAATATTTCTTCCTGAAAATATTTTTGTGACATTAGCAACTCATTATTGTTCATAAATCAGTTGGTTTTCTTTCAGGAGAAATCTCTTGCAACAGATTTTTAAAATTATTTTAATTTAAGTAAAAGTAAGAACTTAAAAGATGATTCCTACAGCCCATTCTCTCCACCCTCCTATACAGAAATAGATTCAAAATAAAATCCTCCTCAGCCTAGGAGCTCAGAGAGATTAAGTTACTTTCCTAAATTCATTTAACCAACATACATTGAAGGGATGACCTGAATTCATATCTTTCTGACTCCGTGGTCATTGTGTTATGTTCTGTACCAGGCTGCCTCTCATAAAAGCATTACATAAATATATAACAATTGCTAGAGTTCCTTATACTAATTAAGGAAGGTATCCAGGCAAAGGGAGAGAAACTAGAAAAAATAAACTCTAAAAAAAGAATAGTAGGTTTTGCCACATTGCAGTCTGTAAGCATTCTTTAACAACCCCCAAGATTAATTCTTTATATATATAAATAGAAAGTTCATTGCTGAATCCACATATTTTATTATCTTTATTAATAGTGTTATTAATGCTAATATCACTTAATTGCTCTAAGCCTTCCCTCACCTACAAATTGGGCATAACACTATTTGTAGTACTTCAGAGGGATGTTGTGAGGATCAAATAGCATAAAATATACAAAGAACTTTGCAAAAATTAAAACACTATATATTCTAACTAAAATTATAATTCCTAAAATATTGTAGAGAGCATAAGACTGTTAAACTTCAAATTACTTTATGCAAATTAAACAATAATAGGCAGGAAAAATGCTTTAAAATGCTTATTGTGAAATTTTCTTTAAATGATACACAATAATAACAAATGCAATAATGATAATGCAGAGCTAGATATAGGGTAGCTAGTTGATGCAATGGATAGAGTGCCATGTCTGGAGTCAGAAAGACTCATCCTCCAAAATCCAAATCTGGCTTCAGACACTTACTAGCTGTGTGATCCTGGACAAGTCATTTAAACCTGTTTGCCTCAGTTTCCTCATCTGTAAAATAAGCTAGAGAAGGAAATGGCAAATCACTCTAGTATCTTTGCCAAGAAAAGCCCCAAATGACGTTGTAAAGAGTTAGGCATAACTAAAATGGTTGAACAACAAAAATAGCTAGATATAATCATCTAGTATATAAAATCATCTAATGATCTTTATATTAATAATAATGATAGTATTTATATAGCACTTCAGAATTTGCAAAATGCTTTATATGTGTTTTTGTTGTTTAGTTATTTTTCAGTCATGTCTGACTCTTCGTGACCCCACTGGGGGTTTTCTTGGCAAAGATACTAGAGTGGTTTGCCATTTCCTCCTCCAGTTCATTTTATAGATGAGGAAACTGAGGCAGAGTTCAGTGACTTGCCCAGGGTCACACAACTGGTAAGTGTCTGAGGCTGGATTTGACGAGCCTTTCCGACTCCAGGCTCAGCGCTCTATCATCCACTGCCACTTAGCTGCCCACTTACATATGTTATCTCACTCGATTTTATCACATTGACAGTGTGAATAGCTTCCATAAAGGAAGGTGCTGATAAATGTTTAACAACTAGCTCTCCAGGGGGTGGGAAAATGTTCACATGACACACTTTTAAGTTTAATCTGCATTATTACCATTTTCTCCATCACTTCATTAGGTCTAGACAATCAATAAAGTGATAAATTGAACTCTGATTAATAGCATTTGCCTGTTTCTCTGTTGGAAATGCTCACAATGAAAATTTAACAGTCAGCAATTGGAGCCAGCTCCAGCATACCACTGCTTTCGTGCATTCTTCAACACAAATTGTACATGACATTCAACTGATAAAAAGAACGGGGTTGTTTAATCATTTGTCCTACGTCTTAGCCATCATGTGGCACCAGATCCTCTTTTTACATGCATAATTTCTGGTGATATCCATATCTTCATCAGGGGAGATTATCGAGTGACACACAAATTGAAGGCTGATGGCTTCAGGATGTGCAAACACTCCCCAGTGTCCACATTCCTCTTTTTAATGAAGTAAGAATAATGAACCCACAGTGGAAATCACATTTTCATCCTTCAAATGATACATTTTGAGACAAAGAGAGAAAAGCAGTCTGTACCAGAGAGGCCTATGGGGAAACATAGTCCTTGAATTGAGATTGTTTGGGGTTGAAAACAATGTCAGGAGGTAATTCTTAGCTTCTTGAGCACCACGGTAAGTGAAGCATAGAAGGGTGAAGAGGAAACAAGGAAAGAAATCCTTACTGGACGTGCTAGCCTTCTCTGAAACAGATAAAACAGCTTACGTTGAAGCTTTAAATTTTTCTACTTGAAAGGAACTGTGGAGATGCAGCATTAACCACATTTGAGCTTAGAAATAGACAAGACCCACCCATACAAAAATATTTATAGCAGCCCTTTATGTGGTGGCAAATAATTGGAAGTTAAGGGTATGCCCATCAGTTGGGGAATGGCTAAACAAATTGTGATATATGAATGTAATGGAATACTATCGTACTATAAGAAATGACAAGCAGGCAGACTTCAGAAAAACCTGGAAGAACTTATATGAACTGATGCTGAGTGAAGTGAGCAGAACCAGAACATTGTACACAGTAACAGCCACATTGTGTGATGACTACCTTTGATAGACTTATCTCTTCTTAGCAATGCAAGGATCTAAGACAACTCCAAAAGACTCACAATGGAAAATGCTGCCCACATGCAGAAAAAGAACTATGGAGTCTGAATGCAGATCAAAGCGTATTATTGGCTCTCTCTTCTTTTGTTTGCTTATTTGTTCCTTCTTTCTCGTGGTTCCTCCCATTGGTTCTAATTCTTCTTTACAACATGACTAATATGAAAATAGATTTAATATGAATGTATATGTAGAGCCTATATCAAATTGCACGCCGTCTTGGGGGGGAGGGGAGAGATGGGCAGAAAATTTGGAACTTAAAATCTTATGGAAGTGAATGTTGAAAACTAAAAATAAATAAATAAATAAAATGAATAGAAAGACAACAGACTGAAGTACATTATGCAAGATTTGTCCTCCATTTTCCTAATTTACATACATCACTCACCTCATGGGTTGTTTTTTTTTTTTGGTGAGGCAATTGAGGTTAAGTGACTTTGCCCAGAGTCACACAGCTAGTGAGTGTTATGTGTCTGAGGCCGGATTTGAACTCAGGTCCTCCTGACTCCAGGGCTAGTGCTCTATCCACTGCACCTCCTAGCTGCCCCTCTCATCTAAGATTTAAAAGATCCAATCAATCCAAGGCATGTGGCTGCTAAGCACATTTGAAGTTATTGGATTTGGGGGCAAGGGGTTGCATTTTATAAACCCCACCTCTCTCCCACTTCACTTCCTGCCCCTGTCTTTATACCATGATTATCATAAAAATTTTTCTCTTATCTAATCTCATTTATCATAAGTTGGTTCACTTGCAGATTCCCCTGGTGTTCCTCCAAGTGCCAATGCTCACCATCTTTTTAGAGGATTTAGTTTTGTGGCATCCAGCCTGGTCCAAGAACCAGCTCAACAAGATCTACACAAAGTCACAGTCCACCCAATTGTGCAGGTAACATCCCTCATGACTATGCTTCGTTTGTGTTCAATGAATCTCAGTGAATGAGGCCCTCAGTGATCCAGTTCACATTATCTATTTGTGAAGGTAGTATCCATTATGACTGTCTCTATTTGTGTTCAATGAGACCCAGTGAACGAGGTCCTCAATGGTGTTCACGTTAAGTGTGGATGAATAGGCAAATATTCAAGACCAGCTAGAATAAGACATTTGGACCTCCCAAAGTAGCACCATTTTACCTAGATTTCCATCATTTACATGAAGAAAGGAGAATTCAGTTCAAATCAATTTAACAAAGGGTCTATGTTGCCTTGAAGTTCCCTGGGCTATGTGAGGAGTTAAACTCATTTTGGGAGGATTCAGTTTATGAGGTAGAATTAATGGCCTTTCAAACACAGCAAAGAAGCAAAAATACCCTGTTTACAGTCTTAGTAGCACCAAACCTCAGGATCACACTTCTTAGCTAGCATCACACAAGAAAATTTTTGCCTACTGACTCCAGGAAATAAAATTCCTCAGGAAAATAGATACAGTGGCTTCCCTTTCCATTTTAAATGGGATATACCCTTTTCCCCAGCCTTCCCTAACCCCTAAAAAACACTAATAAATAAAAAGAGATTCATTCTTAGCAAAAGTCTAGGGTCCACAAATAGATCAAATTCTTCCATGTCATAAGAGCATTGCTTTCCATTGAAGGAAACATCCCAAGTTTCACTTTTCCTCTTCACTAGGAAAGGTCTCTCAAGGGAGAACAGGGGACAGACAGATTGCAGGGATGTGAGAATCCGCAAGGCCCAGCATTTTGACAGCCTCACTTCTGCAGCCACAGAGCCCACTCAGGCATGAGTCAGACATGATGGTACCCATCCTTGAGGGGCTTAGAGGCTAAATACTCAGCAGGAGATGAGGGGAAGGGAACCACACAGCATATGTACCACTGGGTAAGACAAAGAACAGGAGGGCTTCAGGGTTTTGATTTGTTTTTTTTCATCAACTTGAAATCATACTGCAGAATAGTCTGTTTGACAGTCACTGAAACTAACTGATAGATTTCTTTAAAATATATAATTTATGTGTGTATATATATATATGTATATATATATGTATATATATATGTATATATATATGTATATATATATATATATACACACACACACACACACACACACATATATATATATATATGTATATATATATATATGTATATATATGTATGTATGTATGTATGTATATACATCACAGCTCTTGGCTTTCTAAAGACACAGTCAGATAAGCCCAGGAAAGGGACTACAAAATTCAAAAGAGCTCACCCTGTTGAGGCAGTTCTGATACCTGTCTAAATCAACCCAGGCAGAGTTGGCTTTCCCCAAAAGTAGTGAGAAACAAGAGGCCTCACAGAAAAGCAAACTGTTGTTGGAATCATTCCTCATTGTGGAGAACACTATGGCGACCAGTCCCCCAAGGCTCAGATAACTAGATCTGGGTCCAGAGTGGGCCATGTTAGTTTACAGGGGGAGGGGAGGGGAGAAGATAAAAAGTTCTCTTTTTCCTATGAACTGCTCCAAGTCTAAGGGTCACTAGTCCTGAGATTCGGGCTATGCTGTGAGGTGATAGCCCAGCCTAACCATATTTCTGCTTTACCAGGACCCCAACCTGGGAGGCAGTCTTTGCAACCCAGGAAAGCACCCTATGGGCCAACTGTTCTATCATATAGTGCAGAGATGGCCTTGAATATGCTTTTCTGGAAATTAAGATTCAATTTTTATAAGTAGTTTTCCACATCATAGGTGTAACCATATCATAACAAAATAAAGTTATGAATAGTTAGAAACCAAATTAAAGATGTCTTCAAAGAGTGTTTGCACTAGAGAAGAGAGCTCTGTATCAAGAGCTCAGAGTCCCTTGAAATCATATTCTATTTATGTAAAACGTCCAGTTGATATATTTGAATATTTGACTTTACACACTTTATTTTATACAATGGCACAATAAAATGTGACTTGGAAGTGGAGTCTGGTTTCCATTCAGGTATTTTTAATCAAATGCTAACTTTAAGCATCAGTATCATAGATTCCCCACTGTCTAATAATGGTGATGATGATAATGACAGCAACAGTGATGATGATAGCTAACATTTATATAGTATCTTAAAGTTTGCAAAGAACTTTACAAATATTTCATTTCACCTTTACAGCAACTCTGAGAAAGTAAGTGCTATTATTATCCTCATTTTATAGATGAGGAAATTAAGCCAAACAGAGGTTAAGTGACTTGCCTGGAGTCATATAGCTAGTGTTTGAAGCTGGATTTGAATTCAGCTCTTCCAAACTCCAGTTTCATTGCTCTATCCATTGAACCACCTAAGGGTATGTATACATATATATATATATATATATATATATACATATATATATGTTCCTTTTTCGTGTTCTTATTATCTCAGCCTTTTGAGGGGAATGTGACCACTAGAGGAACCGTGGCATAATAGAAAGGACATTAAGCTGGGAGTCAAGAGGCCTGAGTCTTTGCCACTAATCCTTGAATTGTTGACTATTTTGCCCACAAACTCAGTCAGCAAGCTTTCTTCTCCTTTATACATAGGTTGGTTTTTTTTTTAAGTTAAAGAACTTAATTTTAAAAGGCCAAGGTCACCCACTGCATCCTGGGCCTTCACCAGTCATCTTGACTCTTGTCTTGCCACTGGACTTAACTCTAGAGGAGAGAGTGAGGCTGATGACTTTGTACAGCTCTGCCTCACTTAAATCCAATTCATGGGCAAATCAAGACATCACCCTTATGATGTCATTAGTGCCCTTCAAGAAAGAAAGATGAACACCGGTAACAGTCTTAAGTTGTTATGGACAAAAAAAAAAAAAAATCATCACTTGGTAGTTAACTTGTGCGATTCTCTGATCCCTTTTCTGGGATTCTGTCATTTTCAGTATAGTGTCAGAATGGGACCCACGCAGACCATTTTCTGTTTTGGGTCATTTAATGGATTGCTGTGGGGTGTGAAGAGATGGCTAATAGCCAATGTTGTGATTACCTTTATATAACTTTGGCTGGTCCTCAGACAACAGACCCATATTCTATCCCAGGCCTATAATCATTGCTTTTCTAGTACAAAAAGACCTACCATAGCTTATGCTCCATTGCCAGACCTTTAAATAATCCATTTCCATGAAGAAACATCATTGTAAAACTTAAGTCCTTTCTTATTCAGTGAATCTAGAATTTCCACTTTAGTTTCATTAAAGTGAATCCTAACACTTCTCTCTTTTATTGTTCTTGTTCCACAGCAGTTACACGGGAACAATATTCACTTTACAGATGGCTATGAGATCAAGGAGGACATAGGAGTAGGCTCATATTCGGTGTGCAAGAGGTGTGTGCATAAAGCTACTGATACCGAGTATGCTGTGAAGGTAAGAAACTCTCCCACCTGCGATGTTGGGATTGAGCAAAAATGCACATGTCAACTACTCTTCTGTGTATCAGCATCTCCTACTGACACATTTGAAAAATGAACTTAGATTTGTTTGCATTTACTCTTACCCTACCAGCCTCACAGGGTTGTTGTCAGGAGAGCATTTTGGAACCTATAACATGCTGTGCGGATGTAATGTGATCTATTATTTTTGTTATACCCAGAAATGCCAAACCCCATTTTTATACAGATCAACTCACTCCAATTTAGGTTATTGTGAAATGTGTGGTCTACTGCTCCTGCTGTTTGTTAGCCATTTATTAGACTTTTTAGTCATACTCACACATACAAGCAGTGCTCACCATCAGTGGCCTCATATATATCAATGTGCAAACATATGTTAAATTGCTTGCTTTCTCAATGAGAGGGGCAGGGGAGGGAGGGAAGGAGAGAATTTGGAACTCAAACATTTTATATTAATATATGGTTGTTGAACTGTATATTGATGGAGCTGGTACAGTGGGAAGGGGAGGGTGGAAGGGGAAGGAAAGGAGATAACCATTTATCAAACACCTACATTTTGCTGGGCACTGTGCTAAGCATTTTACAAACATAATCTCATTTGATTCTCACAATCGCCCTGTGAGATAGACTTTATTATTATCATCTTCTTTTAATAGCTGAGGAAGGGAGATTAAATGTCTTGCTAAGGGTCACATGGCTAGTAAGTATCTGAGGCTGGATTTGAATTCAGGTCTTCCTTACTCCAGGTCTAATTCTCTTATACTCTATGCCATCTAGCTAGGTTTGGCATTTGGATCCAGAAGGCCGGATTTAAGTCTTAGCTCTTCCACTTTCTCCCTTTAGGCAAATTATTTCATTTCACTGGTCTCAGTTTCCTTATCTGCAAAATGGGGATTGACAAAATAATCTGAGCTCCATTCCAGGTCTGAACCTATGAAACTCTACATCTTTCTATGGAGAGGAATCAATGTGTACAAAGATAAATAAAATTTAAAGTACATAAGGTGTTTTACATACGTATATGTATATATAATTGATATATGCACAAGGATGAAAGATGACATGGCATTGTAGATTAAAGCCTTAAAGTCAGGAAGACCTGGGTTCAAATCCTAATTCTAAGACATACCTGTTGTATATTGCCATGTACAAATCAATTAATCACTCAGTGCCTCAAGTAACTTTTTAAGACTAAAAGTTTCGTAACAGAGCCTGTATCAAATTGCACGCCATCTCGGGGTGGGGGGAGGGGTGAGATGGGGAGAAAATTTGCAACTCAAAATCTTATGGAAGTGAATGTTGAAAACTAAAAATTAATTAATTATTTTTTTAAAAGTTACCACTATCTTTTGGTTGATAGAACTCTCCACACCAATGAAATCACAGGTATGGACCAAAAAAAAAAAAAACCCACACACATTGAATACATACGCACATACCTATAGACAGCTGAGGAGCCAGGGAGACCTGAGTTTGAACCCTGCCTTTGACACATACTTCATCTGTGACCCAAGGTCAGTCACTTAATCTCTCAGGGCAACCATGCAGTTCTCTATGACAGTAAGTTGCAGAGATGAAGCCATTTTCGCATTGGTATAAGAAATCTCCTCACCAGAAATTCCTTAAGCCAATGAGATCATAGATCTGGGCCAAAATATATAATCCCATCTACACAGAGAGCAAAAACTTTGTGATACAGGATTTTGGAGGAAACAAATCATATTTACTAACCCCAAACTCTAATTAATGCTGCCTAATTAATGTCCTTCCCTAAAAATCCTCTCTAATCGCCCTCCTAAGACTAGTAGATACATGACATTCTACATCAACATTGTCTACAAAAGCCCAGACAATCCAGAAGCTGACTACACCTCCTCATACTCCAAAAAACCAAGGATTTTTTTTTAAACCCTCACTGATAAATTCAATTGTGTTGGCAATGGATTCATGCTACTTGGTATTAGCCTTAGTAAAAGTTACTAAATTGAAGAAATGTTGTTTGGATGTCTGAGATACTCATTTCAGATTTTATTCTTTGGCAAAATCCAAGATAATACTTGTTTTGCCGTATACAGATGGATTATTGTTTATATATATTGAAGTTTAAATCTCCCTTTCCCCTCCTTCCCCCCCAAAAAAAAGAAAAGGTGTTTTTCAGCTCTCAATATAAGTTAAATATATAAAAGTATATCCTGGCTAGTTGTGAGATGCAGTAGTCTTGGTGAGTAGCTTAAAACCAATTCTTTATCATTAATCTCTAATTCATTAGACAGTAATTTAAAATGCTTGGGTAATGAAAGGCAAGACCACATCTGTCATGTAAGTCTTCTGAAGCTTTGCTATACATTTGTATATCACTTGACACTGTGTTGGTTTCTGCAAATAATTTTTTGGGAGAAAGTGCTACCTTTCCAATAAATAGTAATAGTAGCAATAACAGAAGAAGAGTATATTCTTTCTATCATTGATTATGTCTTTTAAAAAAAAACCATGCAAATGATAACTGCTGAAAAATCGTTCCCAGTTCAGGGACCTCAGAACTAAATCTCATAGTCATTTATTGAAGAGAAAGATGTATAATACCTTCGTTAAGAAGGCAAATTCTAAAGCAGTAAGCAAGATCATTTGAGACACCCACCCTGCATTCCTCACACTATTGAAACACGCAGCTATGTCAGGAAAGACACAAGCCAGAGACATAAACCCTGTTGATTTAATTTGGACCAGGAATTTATGGCTTCTTGCCCCATTTATCTTGATTTGCTCAATCAATAAAGAATGTGTTTAAATGGAGGAAAATATAAATTTGTGAGTTCAGCTGCTGGATTTATAAGTAATGCCTGTCTGAAATCTTGAACATATTAGGAAAGGTTAAAGGAGGGAGATGTACAGTGATTTAAGGGACCGGAGCAAATTGGTTTCTTTACAGTGACTGTAAGTGTTACTGCAGTGTCAGGACATTCACCAGGAGGGTTCCCAGCAAAGGAAAAGCAGGTCAAGTTATTAAATAACTGCCTATTCAGCATTAACATAAGGCAGGTAAGGGAGTGAGTGTGACAAGTCTGGGGTGATTAGAATAAGGAGTTAGAAAATAGAATGCAGCAGTTTGGCACCCGGCTCCTCTGGAATGTGCAGGAGATACCTAAAGCTGAGGCTCCCTATTTTCCCTGAGTCCTCTGAGGGTGTTCTTGTTACTTAAGCAGAAATTACCTTTTTTTTAACCAGGTTTTACATCCCAAAACAGATGTCTGGCATTTAAAACAGAACCCTAGACATCTTCACCATGAGGTGTTTCCCAATTTCCCCCTGCCCCAGGTATTAATATCTTTCCTCCCAAAACTCATTTTTTATTCATTTTGCATATGAACAGTATATACTTATAGGATATAGAGATTTGTTACTACAGGGTATATAGTCTCTGTCTATATTGCATTTTTGCAAATCTCACCTATTGGAATATAAGCTCCTTGAGGGCAAAAGAACTTTCCCTTTTGTCCTTGTATCTTTAGTGCCTAACATAGTAACCTGCATATAGTAGCTTAATAAATGTTGATTGATTTACTGACTAATACTACTACTATTAGGCTGATCAACTAATGCTGCTTGTTTCCAAAACAAAGTCCCTACTGGTGAAGGTATTATGCCCTCTGTTTTTCACACGTGTACTTATGGGTCACTACCAAATGAAGATACCACCTGAATCCAGTAGAGTTTTGATTTCATAGGTTCCCAAAGACCTAGCTGGGATCAACTTCCATAATTCTGATTTCTGGGTATGAAAGAGACAGGATTTAGAAAGGATTTCTAAATTGAGATCTAGAAACTTGGTAATTAATTTTACTTCAGTTAGCAGTGGTAAAAGAACATCTAGTCCCTTCACCTCCCCATCCCACTTCCATTTCTTTATTCAAAGCCTTGTAGATTACTAGGCAAAAATGAGTTAGCGGGGCTGGGCAGTGACTAGCCACTGCCTTTCAGAAATCACAATGGATCATAAGTCACCATCTGCACGATTCTTGAATTAATGAAGTAGACCTATGTTCAAAGACCAGAGATTGTTCAGGAAGATACAGGTCATTGCACAACATTCCCTTTCTAACCTAAAGCTATTTCAGAGGCACCTTACAAAGCAAGCAGAAAGCTGAGGATATTGGAATGAATGACACTGAATTTGGTGCCTCATTTATCTGAGGGTTGATGCATTTTGTTTGGGCTTCTCTTAAAGATGCAATAGCTGCCAGGAGTGCTATGGCCAAGTGCTCATTATTCAGGATGAGTTTCTTAGTTATGTAAATTGAATCAGTAGACTAAAGACCATGATTCTTTTTAGCATCTAATATTTCTAAAGCAATGAATATTTGTGATTATTGGGTGATTAACCCTTGCAACATCTGCGGGAGCCAACTTGGTGAATAGCCAATATTTTTGCTTTTTTGATGGATGGTAAGTAGAAGAATAGAGTTAAATTGCTTTCCAAGATGACATAATCAACCAAATAAAAATGTGTTAAGTACTTACTATGTGCCTAGCACTGTGCTAAGTGCTAGAAATTACATGAAGCAAATACAAATATTTTAAGTATAATACATAATACACATATTTTATATGTATAAAATATACATGCACTGGGGTAGGGTTCTTTCACTGAAGAAATAGCTTTAAACTTCTCCTTCCAATTCCTGCTAAACATCTCCACCTAAAATGGTACCTCTACCAAAGGAAAATCTACAATTGTTCTTGAATTTAGACACTTAAAGAGTTATCTGGGGAAAATGAGAGGTGAAAGGCAAATAGGTGGTGCCATAGTGCATAAAGCACCAGGCCTGGAGTCAGGAAGACTCCTCTTCCTGAGTTCAAATCTGGCCTCACATACTTACAAGCTGTGTGAGCCTGGGCAAGTCATTTATCCCTGGTTGCCTCAGTTTTCTCATCTGTAAAATGAACTGGAGAAGGAAATGGCAAACTGCTCTAGTA